CCTCCCCTGGCCAACCACGGCAGACGTCTACCTTGCCAAAGGTGGGCAGAGGAAGATTTCTGTATCCTCTGGCTTTGCATACAACAATCTTCTCTATCTATCAGTGCAGCCAAAGGGGCCAGGGAAGTCAGTTCATCAGGCACAGGAATCCAGCTACCTTGGAAGAGCCTAGAGGGAGCAAATGAAGCTAGAGGAAAGGGAGTTTTTAGCAAGGAGTGTATGTCTGAGGATCCCATCAGAGAAAGCTAGGAAGGAGGAAAAACATGAAATGCCAGAGCTCTGATGGAAAGGAGGGATAGCTAGCATGTAGAATAGGCTACTAAATACAGGACTGGAAGCTGCAATCATGAATATATTTTGTGCAGTGCTAAGCAATGGGGGGGGGGGGGGGGAGAGGGTGACATTAAATGGGTACTAAACTTTCGCAAAATTTCTGCTGCAGCTGTTCTCCTTTCCTTTAGTGGAAAGAAATCACTGTCATGCATCACTAACTCTGGGATAGTTAAGAGAGGTTCCCATAGTAATACCATAACCACCATGTTGAAATTATACCCACCGGCAATGAACAGATGTGGAAAATCAGTTACACCTTTTTATTTATGAATTAGAGAGGACCCAATTCTCTTTTACACCGACATGCCTTGAAGGGTGTCAGAGAATAATTTACACTCAATTTAAGCGCTCTTTACATTACCAGCAGAGTGTTAAGAAGCCTTTGTATAACCAGGCCTAGAGTCCCTGCGAAACCACATGCAATGAGAGGGCCATATCCCAAACTGATGCAAACCAGAGAAGCTCCATTCACTCCAATGGAACTACACTGATTCACGAGAGCTGAGGCACTAGCCCAGTATGCGTCTTTTCTAAGAATCCACTTCTGATAACCTTAATTTGATGAGTAGTTCCCAATTCCATTTCAATTTGATCATTTCTGATCAAATTATATATAGGTGGTGCCTATAGCAAGGTATTGCAATTGCATGTCTGTACCTTTAAGTTTCCCTTTGTTAGTTAATGTTCTACCAAAACAGTATTAATTATAGAAACTGAAATCAATGTTTAATTGCTTGGTAGACTAATTTTAACACAGTTAGTTGAATTACTCTATAGTCAGAGATCCCCTTTGACCATTCATTAGGTTATCAAGCTTCTGGATGGGATTCAAAACTTCCAAACAGAGATGACAGCTGTAGCTGAGCAGTGCTTTTTTGGGGTCTGGATTTTCCAACGTGTCTCTTCCCTCTATAGAAAAATGTGCCATTTTAGAATAAAGGAGAATCAACGCTATGCACTTGCTCAGTTTATTAAATACCATTTTTCTCAGGGAATCTTATTCACTTCCCTCCATGGATTTGTGATAGCAGTTAATACTGACTACAAAACAATAAGTGGAATTTATCAGGGGGGAGGGGGAGGGGGAGAGAGGCATAGCTCAGTGGTTTGAGCAGTGGCCTGCTAAACCCAGGGTTGTGAGTTCAATCCTTGAGGGGACCACTTAGGGATCTGGGGCAAAAATCAGTACTTGGTCCTGCTAGTGAAGGCAGAGGGGGCTGGACTCAATGACCTTTCAAGGTCCCTTCCAGTTCTAGGAGATGGGATATCTCCATTAATTAAAATTAATCACAAACTAGATTAATTGTTTTGAGCTCTTCCATAAACTTTCTAGGAGTAGAAAAGTAAACACTTCATGCTTTGTGTCTACTGTTAACATGGCTCATTACATATATTTGTACTAAAGAATAACGCACAACACACATCAGATTCTGTTCTCTGCTGTTAGCAATTAAGTAATTAAAAAGCCAAGACCCAAATAGTCATTTAAGGGTCAGTCAACGTGAACATCTGAATCTCCTCTAATTTTTAAAAACTGGATAGATTTTAAGTTGCTTCTAAATTAAACTTACTAGTGTTTGTAGCTTTATAACATAAGCCAGCGGCTAGAAGCAACCTTCAGTCACTACTTCTCTAGGCTGGATTTGAACCAATATTAAAAAGTTATTACCTAGTCTCCTAAGATGTACCCATTAAACATACACTTCAAACATAAAAAGTAATTATACAACAGTAGATAGAAATGTGATTTCTGAATAGTCCAGATGCAGTTAGATTCAATACTCAAATATTTTCACCTGCATTTTAGATGCTTAAAGCCCACATGTCATAGAAATGTAGGACTGGAAGAGACCTGTCAGTCAGTCATCTAGTCCAGTCCCCTGCACTGAGGCAGGACTATGCATTATCTAGACCATCCCTGTATTTGTCTAACCTGCTCTTAAATATCTGCTATGATGGAGCTTCCACAACTTCCCTAGGCAACTTATTCCAGTGCTTAACTACCATTACAGTTAGGAAGTTTTTCCTAATTTCTAACCTAAACCTCCCTTGCTTCAATTAAAGTCCATTGCTTTTGTCCTGTTCTCAGTAGATAAGGAGAACAATTTATTACCCTCCTCTTCATAACAACCTTTTACATACTTGAAGACTGTTATGACTTCCCTCAGACTTCTCTTCTCCAGACTAAACAAAACCAATTATTTTCAATCTTTCCTTGTAGGTCATGGTTTCTAGATCTTTAGTCATTTTTGTTGCTCTCTTCTAGACTTTCTCCAATTTGTCTGCATCTTCCCAAAGTGTGGTGCCCAGAACTGGACACAATACTCCAGCTGAGCCTTTATCAGTGCTCATTAGAGTAGATGAATTACTTCTCATGTCTTGCTTACAACACTCCTACTAATACACTCCAGAACAATGTGTGCTTTTTATTTCTGCAAAGTATTACATTGTTGAGATTTATTTTGTCATCAACTCTAACTCCCAAATCCTCATCTGCTGTACTCCTTCCTAGGCAATCATTTCCCATTTTATATTTGTGCAACTGATTATTCCTTCCTAAGTGTAATATTGCATGTGTCCTTATTGAATTTCATCCTATTTATTTCTGACCATTTCTCTACTTTGTCAATATCATTTTGAATTTCCAATCCTGTCCTCTAAAGTGCTTGCAACCACTCCCAACTTGGTATTGTCCAAACTTTATAAGTGTACTCTTTATACCATTATCCAAATCATTTATGAATTTAAATAGAATCCACACAGGACAGATCCTTACAGGTCCCCACTTGATATGCCTTTCCAGCTTGACTGTGAACCATTCATAACTACTCCGAGTATGCTTTTCCAACCATTTGTGCACCTACCTTATAGTAGATTCACCTAGACTATATTTCTCTAGTTTGTTTATGAGAATGTCATGAGGGCCAGTACCAAAAGCCTTACTAAAGTCAAGATATATCACACCTACTTCTCCCTCAATCCACAAAGCTTGTTACCTTGTCAAAGGAGGACATTAGGTTGGTTTGATCTGATTTGTTCTTGACAAATCCATGTTGACCATTACTTTTCACCTTGTTATCTTCTAGGTGCTTACGTATTGTTTGATTTACTCTCTTCTTTCTGGGTACCAGTGTTAAAATGACTGGTATGTAATCCCTGGGGTGTCCTTATTCCCCTTTTTATAGATAGGTACTATATTTTCCCTCTTCCAATCTCTCCTGTCCGCCACAAGTTCTCAAAGGTAATTGTTAATGGCTCACAGACCTGCTTGAAGAAATCTTTAAGTATTAGGATGTATTTCACCAGATCCTGACGATCTGAAGACATCTAACCTATGTAATTCTTAATGTGTTTTATCCTATTTTAGCCTCAAATCCTACTCCATTTACATGGATCACTATTTAAGTCATACCATCACAACTAACCTTTTTGGTGAAAGCCAGTAAAGGCATTTAACAGTTCAGCTATTGCTGCGATTTCTGTTATTGTCTCTCTTCTCATTGAATGATGGGCCTACCTTGTCCTTTCTCTTATATTTGTAAAAAATGTTTTCTTACTAATATTTATGTCCCCTACCTAATTTAAGCTAATTTCATGCCTTGGCCTGTTTAGTTTTGTCCTTACATGGTTGTGTTGTTTTTGATACTCATGATCTTCATAATTTGACCTCATTTTAACATTTTGTAGGATTTTTTTTTTTTTTTTGAGTTTCAGATGGTTGATGTTCTCCTGGTTAAGCCAGTGTGATGTCTTACCATACTTCCTATCTTTCCTACACATTAGGATAGTTTGCTCTTGTGCCCTTAATAATGTCTCTTTAAAAAACTGCTAACTCTCAATCATTGTCCATATGAGAAGTATTAAATGTCCCAACTTCCTGAGCACACTGTAGTTCTGCTGGTGTTTCAAATGGCAATCAAGTCTTTTATGTTGAAAGTTCCAACCTTCCACACATTAATATTAACTATCACAATGATGTTCTCCTGAAGTTAATGTAGAAAGTAACCCCTACAACAAAAGTCACCAGAGACCCACAAAGCATCATGCTTCTTGGTATTGATGTCCACCCTTCTATTAGATAAAGCCCTAAAGCCTTAGTAGTATTACCCCACTATACAATACATTCGATTCCAAAACCTGATGGCCTTCTTAGCCTAAGGGTAAGTGGAGCAGAGAGAAGGCCGATCTTATTAATGATTCAACTTCTACTCTTTATGAAGGAAGTGGGCAGGGATGTCACTAGCTTGTTCATAACTATTATTCCAGGCCTGGATCAATTGAACCAGCTTGATAGCCACTGCAACCCTTAGCACGATTATGACTTCGGTAAGTGATTGATTCTAGGATCAGACCTGTCAAATATCAACTTATGATCCAATTTTGCAGTTACAAGGCTAGTGCACTAACCCAACAACACCAGAGAGCAGAGTGATTTTTTCTAGCCAACTCCTTAGCTGTTACTAGTCTAAGATGTTTGGCTAGTGACTAAAACATTTATTGAAATTTGTGTTCCACACCCAGGAGTACTAACCAATGAGTACACATTGATAGGCACTTTGTATAGACATTTAGTTAAACAGGAAGTTAAAGCACTTCACAAATAGGACTGGCTGTTGTGAATAAAACTCCCATCATGTTAAGACACTAATAAGCACAAGCCAGAAATCTACTTAAAATCCTGTTTTATTAGGCGTTCATTGATAAAATATAAATAAAATTTTTTTTAAACACAACTGAATCTATAGTTTGACAGGGGCACTTCAAGTTTTAATACCAGATGTTTCAGCCTGTTCCCCAAGAAAGATGGAAGAAGATGGCTGAATATCCAGTGCAGTCCACAGAAGTAAAAGAAATTATGTCTAACCACAAGTTGCTCCTTCATTCTAATATAACTTGTTTAAAAAGGCAGAAAAATACAAGTTATATTTGAGAAAATGTAGATGCATTAACAAACATTTGAAAACAGTCAATATGATTTCACATTTGAATGCTCAAAGCTAGCACTACCAAACTGAAACTGCAAGACAAATTCCATTATCATCTAGTCTTAAAATATAGATCTCATATAAAAGCTGCAGGAGACTGGTTCATACATCCCAGAAGAGATGAGGTATTTTAATTGTGCAAGACCTAAATCAGTTTAAGACCTGTAAGATCTTTTCATCCACAAGTGCATAGACAATTTTTCTTTGCTTAACTTTCTGTGCTTCAGTAGTTCCATGTTTAAAGAATCCATGAAAAAGTGCGCAGATTTTGTTTTTAAAAGTCTTTAAAAAAAGGTAGCAAAATATAAGGTAAGTTCTCCAGTCTATTAGCATTAAAATTCTTTGTTATTCTTCAAGCAAGTCTGATGTAGGGAGGTGGTTTGGATAGTTCTTCCTCTGCATCTAAGTCTTGATCTGGAAACTGCACTGGGGAATTAAAGATTCTGTTCCCATGACCTATGTGAGGGGGGAAGAGGGGGGGGGGGAAAGACGATAACTGAACATACTGTAGCTCCTTGGGCCAAATCCTGAGTTCCTTACTTTGTTTTCAGTCACTATCAGGATTTGGCTTGTAATACATATTCAGTAGATGATATTGTATGGAATGATCACCTTAAATCTGAATGATCTATCTAGGAGATGGAAGGGAGGAGAAAGTTACTTACTTTGCATAGTGCAAACCAGTTCCACAGTCTGCTGCGGATCCTCAGCAGGTTGTAGCCATTCCTACAAATGAGATTTATATTTTATCTTTCCATTGCTAGTCAAACATGGATGTTCTTATGCAATCTTATAATCCAGTTTAGAAATTATCCTTGAAAGTAAACTTTGAATGTGTGTGAACAATAGAACCTCAGAGTTATGAGCACCAGAGTTACAAACTGACCAACCACGCATCTCATTTGGAATCAGAAGTACACAAATCGGGCAGCAGCAGAGACGAAAAAAATAGCATATACACTACACTACCATGTTAAACTACTAAAAAATAAAAAAGGAAAGTAGCATTTTCCTTCTGCATAGCAAAGTTTCAAAGCTGTATTAAATCAACATTCAGTTGTAAACTTTTGAAAGGACAACCATAACATTTGTTCAGTTATGAACATTTCAGAGTTACGAACAACTTTCATTCCCAAGGTGTTCATAACTGAGGTTCTACTCTAGTTTATTTGAAAGGAGGCTAATTGTAATGTACTAGATTTAAATATCAGTATCACCTTTTCTCCCAAAGGAGGGTGTAGTTTGACACGTGGAATTAAATAGTGACATTCACCACTTTTGATTTATGTGTCATTTTTGACATGCTTATATGATAGCCTGATACTTTATACAAATCCCTTTTCTTGATATGTCATGTAGTCAATTTTTATGTATATTCTGATAAACTAGGGGAAAATGTGATTTTGTACAAGTTGTTTATTCAATCCACTAGAAGTCCTCCGTCCCTACACTAATTTAAAAATCAGGAAAGTGAGCTAGAAAACTGGAGTCACAATATTCAGAGAGATTTTATAATACATAGCTCAGCTTCTTAATGAAATCTGCTTGGTCAATGATAGTGCTGGTTGAATGTTTTCAAAGTTTGCAGTTTTTACACAAGAGGGACAGTTTTCCTGAAAATTACGTCTTTGTCCCTGACTGGCTCTACTGTAGTCCATGCACACAGACAAATAAGCTTAGAGGTATTTAAATTTAAATCTAGTATATTAAAACACAAGAAGTGTTATTGGTATGAGTTTGGGATGACACTTTACTCATAATTTATGCAGAGCATCCAAAACAAGTGCTAGTAAAACCTTTACACCTCATGATGGAGTTTGTATTTGCTATAGTTTATAGGAAGTGCAGAGTTTAAAATTAAGGGGTTATTTTATCCATCAGTTGGTACTTCAATTGTATTTGTAAACCAACCTGCCCTAATACAGGCCTCAAAAGGAAGAGAGGTGATTACTAAGACACTTCAGAAACCTCTAAAATTGTTCTAAAATGCCTTTCCATATCTAGCATTACAAGTCTGATGTCTTGTGATCTACCAGGACTAGGAAAGAAGTCTTAGAGCATTAGAAAGAGGCATCCCCAGCTCAAGGTCACAAAGGGACATCTTACACTCCAAGGGTTTAAAAGAAGATATCAGACCTTCTGCCTTTCATCAGATAAGCCAGTCAGATACATGACTAATGCATTTACCCTAATCCACACAGTTTTCCCTACGTACCACATGTGATGCAATAGAATTAGAAACTATGTTCAAAAAGTCAGCACTTACATACCATTCCAGTTACATTGTCATAACATGAACAACGTGGAAGACTTCGGCAGCCCATGTAAGCAATAACTAGCACAATGAAAGCACTGCAGGTAGATGCAATTAACATTGCTATGTTGGCTCCTTTGACAAGTTTATCAAGCACAAACTTCTGTAATAGAAACAAAGGAAATGTCAGATGGATCAACAATGAAGGCTTTAGCTTTACCTTAAATTCCAAAACAAGGTTTTGATTAGTGACTGAAATTCTTTATCTGCAGTGTATTTACTTTTTCCATTGTAAAAATCTTTACTACTCTTTTACATGTCAACGGGGGAAATACAATAGTTGGTTTTAGTATTGATGTACTTCTAAATCAGTAACATCACTGATGTTGAGGGGGAGACATTTCTCTTCTGTATTTGTGTTTTTCTTTGTACTAACCTCTGCAGAGGCAACAATAATTTCCTATCAATTTTGTTCTATATAGTCAAGTTTGAAATGGACAGGCATTTTGTTTAAAGTTCATTGTATTAAACACTTTGTCCCAACACAAGTGCACACCAGCATTGACTAATGTCAGCTTTGGAAATAGTTTTACTCGTGCAGCAAAGTAAATACCGAAGGACCATCCTCTTAGATCAGTGGTCTCCAATCTTTATACACATAGGATCACTTTTTGAATTTAAATGCAACCCAGGATCTACCTGGCCCCTTCCCTGAGACCCCACCCTGCTCACTCCATTCCTCCCCCCTTCTCACCCCTGGTCTCCATTGCTTGCGCTCTCTCTCTCTCTCCCCTCCCCCCAACCCACCCCCACCCTCACTCACTTTCACCGGGCTGGGGCAGGAGGCTGGAATTCGGGAGGGGATGTAGGCTCTGGGCTGGAGCCGAGGGGTTCGGGATGTGGGAGGGGGCTCTAGGCTGAGCCTGAGGTTGAGGGGCAGGAGGGGGTGAAGGATGCAAGCTCGGGGAGGGGGGGGGAGTTTAGGTGCAGGAGGGGGCTCCAGGCTGGGGCAGAGTGTTGGGGGTGCAGAAGCGGGTGCTGGCTCTGGGAAGGAGTTTGGGTGTAGGGGGGAAACGTTTGGGCTGGGGGAGAGAGTGTTGGGGTGCAGGAGGGGGTGCTTGCAGGCAGAAGCAGCATGCAGAGACCTCTGCCCCCCACCCCAACCTCCGGGGCCACGCTGGCCGCTTCCGGGAGTGGCATGGGGCCGGGGCAGGCAGGGAGCCTGCCTTAGTGGCAGCCCAATTGCTCCACTGGAGATCAAATGACTAGGAGAGTCTCCAGTGTTGACCGGTTGGTGACAACTGCCTTAGAATCATCTTTGTCTACAGTGAGACACATCACACCTAAGCAGCATGACATCAGAAAGTTGGCCTGCAGTGCATGGGTGTATTTGCATTTTTTTCATAAATATATTAATCCCAACAAGCTATTAGTGGTACCAAAAGGATTTTGTATTAAGAGACCAGATATCAGCAGAAAATTTGCAAAAGCAAGTATCTAAATGTCAGCACCGAAATCTAGGTCTAGGTACCTAAGTGGCCTGATAATTCAGAAGACACAACCTATTGCTTCTACAGCCTTACATCCAAGACCACCAAGCATTTCAAAGAGATGGGTAAATTTTCTTTTTACACTTTACCCACCTTTTACAAATGTGCAAACTGAGGTGCAGAGAGGTTAAGTGACTTGCCCAGAGTCATATTGCAAGCTTTGATGGAATTGGGACTCAAGCCCCTATACCATAGGCGCTGACTCCGTGGGTGCTCTGGGGCTGGAAAAAATTGATGGGTGCTCTGCATCCACCGGCAGCCAAGCTCCCCACCCTGCCCCAGTTCCCCACCCCACCCCAGTTCACCTCCGCCTCCTCCCATGAGCGCGCCACGTCCCCACTTCTCCTCCTAGTGCTTGCCACTGCATAACAAGCTCTGGGAGGGAGTGGGAACACAGTGTGCTTAGGGGAGGAGGCAGGGAAGAGGCAGGGCAGGGATTTGGGGAAGAAGTCCAATAGGGGCAGGGAGGGGGCAGAGGATTTGGGGCAGGGACTTTGGGGAAGGGATTGGAATGGATGTGGGGAGGGGTGGAGTTGGGGTGGGGCTGGGGGCGGGGTTGAGCACCCCCAGCAACAGGAGAAGTTGGCGCCGATGCCCTAGACCAGTGCTTCTCAAAGCCGGTCCGCTGCTTGTTCCGTTGCGGGAAGCGGCACGGGCCGAGGGATGTGCTGGCTGCCCTTCCCGCAGCCCCCATTGCCCTGGAGCGGCGAACCGCGGCCAGTGGGAGCCGCGATCGGCCGAACCTGCGGACGCGGCAGGTAAACAAACCGGCCCGGCCCGCCACGGGCTTTCCCTGAATAAGCGGCAGCCCGACTTTGAGAAGCACTGCCCTAGACTACACTGCAGTTTAGTGAAGATGCTGAGTTATCTTGTAATTTGTTTTATAATAATAAGCCAATGGCTTCCCTTCCTATACCATTCAAAGATATTAGTAGTTTGAACTTGGGACAGATATTCTAATTTCTCAGTACTTCCTAGCACAATGGGCCTCAATCTTGGTTGGTGTTCCTATGTGTCTCCATAATCCACTACAATTGTATGAATGGATTCTGTGGCCCAAAGGGCAACAGGTTTTAGATCAAATCAAGTTAGAATGTTGACGGTTTTGATCTTAACTGTTCCTGTTCCAGTTCTCCTACGCTCAATTTCATATCAAGGACTATCGGTACCAACTCTCCAGTCATATAGGCTACATGCTGTAATAGCCACCAAGTACTCCCATCTCATGGAGAACATCTCCAAAGCATTTATGTTCTACAAGGCAAGAACCCAGATCTTTACCACTGAATGTTCTCTCTATGGGGAAGACCCCATGTTCCTAACATATTTTGACCACTGGGTTCCTTGCTATTGATGTCTCCTAGTATAGAAGTTCAGTATCCTAAGAATTTCCACATCAGAGAAAGCCAGTGGTCCATCTAGTTCTGCATTCTCTCTTGGACAGTAGCAAGTACCAGGAGAAGATTATACTGTGATTCTCCAGAGAATCACAGAGCTTCCTGCATTCAGCAATAATAAACTGATTTTAGAATTGTTGGTATATGCCTAGTTTGCACATACTAAAAGGAACTGTGAAGTCTGGATTGCATTCCTACAAAAGGAAGTGCAATTTTGTCACAAAATACTGCCACTTACCGTATGAATAACATGAACTGGCTCATGTGTGAACATCTCATCTTCTTCACCATAGCTTAAAGTTAAGGAAGCATAGACCACTACAATGATGGTGGCAAAACAAGAAAATATAGAAGCCACTATCATTGCATTCACCTGCATAGGAAAAAATTCAAGGCAAATATGGGGTGGGGATAGGAAAAGTTAGTGCATTGTCTATTTTTCCTTTAAAATTAATAAGCCACTCTGAAAGATATTAATCAAACCTGAATAATTTCAAATGTTCTGACCACCACCCATAATACTGCAGTGATTGTATTCTGTTGAGTGCATCAAGAGCTCCCCACAATACTCATTACTATGTTTACCAGCTGTTTTTTTCTCCCCTCTTAAGGGATCCACAATTCAGGAATCCCTTGTCTGATTCACTTCCGTTTTACGGGGGGGGGGGGGGGGGAAATCACATGTTCTGGAGTAACTGATCAGCAAATGCTGCCAGAATTTTTAATTTTTCTACAGAATTTAATACTGCTACTCAGAACTCAGAGTTATTGTCTTGCAGCTGGATTTAGAACCATTAGAAATAATAAA